TACCAACCTCTCCCACTCATGCCAGGAAATGTCTGGGGTGAGACAGAGATGAGAGGAGCCAAGGGGCGGGCCTCCTAGCTGCATGCCTGGAGCCTCTTGCCTTGTGGTTTCACCCTGGTTTGCCCTGCAGCTGTAACGTGTCTACTGACACGCAAGCCCTGGACATGCTGTCTCTCCCTCTTTCCCAAACCTCCACTCCATCTCAGAAATCCCAGAAGGACTGTAGGAAGATGAAAGGAAAAGAGAAGGACAGGGGTAGGTGGGGATGTGGCACTTCAGGAGATACAGGGAAAAATACAAGAGAATTTTCATGGAGGAGGGAGTAGAAAGAAGGAACTTAACTCACCTCCTCTGAAACCAAGTTAAAGAAAAGGCAGAGGGGTGACATGGTTAGGCTGCTATGGATGCTAGAACATGACCGAGGAATGATGCTAAGTGCCCAGAGGCACCAGCCTGCAAACTTGCAAGATTCAACAGCAAAATGGCAAAAAGTCACACTTCTTGTTCTGTTTCCTCAACATGCAATTCCCAGATTATGGCAGGTCTTAGAACTCTGTTCCAGTGTATAAACTGAGGCACCTATGCTCTACCAGTCACATGTTTCTACATAGCAGCCCTCAGTGCTCACAACGCTCTGTAAAGTCAGTTTTGTGATCCTCATTTCACAGATGGGTACACTGAGCCACAGTGGATTTAAGTAATTTGCTCTTAGAATTTGAAAATTATGAAACAAGGTCTATAATCATTTGTCAGAGCCCCCACGGATTCCATTATACTAAGCTGCCTTTGATTTGAAGTTAAATCCAATCAAAATCATGCTAACACAGTAGAGATTTCTTCAGCCTACTAAGGCACAGTAAAAAGCAGATAATGAGTAATGAACCAGAAAAGTCTGAATCTCACAGCACAGGAATCAAAAATCCTGGAATTGTTGTTTGCACAGGCCTCCTGGCATTGAGATCCCAATGCAGCCTTGGTACCCCCTAGTGGAAGTTTCCGGCATTTGCACTCTCACTCAGCCACTGGATAGCATTCCAAAGACTTGTATGTTTGTATGTTAGGATCCACGGTGATAGAAGACTTACAGATGAGGGAGAATGTGTGTCAAGCATGTTACTCACAAGGCACACCCCAAAAGTCATTGGCAGTTCATTAATGACCTCAGGCCTTTTGGGCATTTTTTTTTTTTTTGGCAGTACTGGAGTTTGAAATCAGAGCCCCATGCTTGCTAGGCAGGCGATCTTACTGCTTGAGCCACTCACCAGCCCTTTTTTTGTGATGGTTTTTTTTTTTTTTTTTTGAGATAGGATCTCTTGGGAACTATTTGCCAGGGGCTGGCTTCAAACAGAGATCCTTCTGATTTGCCTCCCAAGTAGCTAGGATTACATGCATGAGCCACCAGCACTTGATGAGACTTTTTTTTTTTTAAATGGGGGAAAATTAGTGATCAGAGATGTAAAGTGACTTGTAGAAGGCCACAGGACAAATCAATATCATCAACAGTGGGACTACAATGCTTGTCCCCTGATTCCCAATCCAGAGCTCTTACCTTATTTGTTAGTAGACTAATTTTAGCTGTAACTTTGTGTGATACTAGGACATGAAAGTTTAGATAGAATCAGGATTTGTTTTCACCTTCATCTGTCTATAGGATATACACTTTTCATTATTATTTCCAAACACTAGTCTAGTGATGGCTTTTCAAGTCTATGGACCTTTTGCAAGGTACTCCAGCATATGAGAAAGGGGAACCCCAGGCTCCTGAGACCCCTTGCCTATAGCGCTCCTCAAGTTCTCAGCACTAAGGTGTTAGATTTATTTCTGTCTCCCTCCCCCTGCAGAGGTAATCCCTGAGAATGGAAGTGGGTTAGAAACAGATTACTCTGATCCAAGGGCTTTGCCCTCTCCTCCCTCAACATGGTAGTGGTGCTGTGGTAGTCACAAATAGCCTGAAATTTCCTTTTAGGATTACTGCTTGATTTAGCCAGCTGGGGCAAAAGTGGAGCAAGAAGAGGCAAGGGATTAATTCTAGGCCTAGCTTGAGCAGCGGGATGTATGTATGGGCTTTTTTCCTAGTTGAGCCAGGATGAGCAACATCTCTTCCTAAACATGCCTTTAGAATAAGAAATCTAGGACAGGCAGAAAAAGGCAGCAGCAGGGGTGAGCAGAAGGATGGATGAGAAAGAAGAACAGCAGCCACAAGAAGAAAGTTATGCATCATAAAAGTAAGGAAGGACCCAAGTGCCAGTGGCTCATGCCTATAATCCTAGCTACTCAGGAGTCAGAGATCAGGAGGATCATGGTTTGATATCACCCCAGGCAAATAGTTCAAGAGACCCTGTCTCGGAAAAATCCATCACAAAAAAGGGCTGGTGGAGTGGCTCAAGGGGTAGGCCCTGAGTTCAAACCCTGGTACCAAAAATAAATTTTAAAATGAATAAATAAATAAATAAGGAATCACTTTGGGGCTTGGAAACTACCTGCATTTCGGGGTAGTTCAACAAAAATGACAATGGACTGTTAGGGAAAGATAACTAACACCCAGGGTTTCCTGAGAATTTTATTTATATCTTGGTTCAGAGCTCTCTTGCACTGGGGTAGACTCTGGGGGCAGGGATGTTACACCTGTGTCCAGCACAAAGAGCAGTTACACTTACCAGAATTCTGCTAGGCTCCCCATATCCCTTCCAGAACTATCTTAGGACTTGGAAGTAGTAGCCGTAACTAACCAGAGTAAGACTGTGAATTAACTCATTTTAAAGAGTTAAAAACAATTCTGAGTTGGGTACCTAAATACCCCCTTTCTATGGGTAAGAAAAAGAGGTGAAGCTAAGATTTGTAAACTCAAGAATATAACATTCTTAACCATTATGGGAGAGCCATTGATAATTAATCTGGAATGACAAAGAAGTTCTGTTAACACTATCTAAAGTTGAGAATACTTCTTAGAAATCAAGATTCTTGTTTCTTCTGTAGCACCTGGTCTTGGACAATATACTTCTTTTGCTCTCTGTGCTCTTCCTTCAGGTAGGGGAAGCATATTGTAAACACCTGCCAAGTTTACTGCTTGCCTCAATAGACTTGTATCATATGGTTCATATTCTTCTAAATCTCCTGAAGTTTCCTTTTCAAATCAGCTGTGTGTCTTCTAGATTTATGTTGCTTGGAATTTTTTCAGAAGTTCTGATTTCTTGACATCATCTGCCACTGGGAGGGAAAATGCAAGTATATGCCCCACAGCTCACAGGGAGACCTAACCTCTTTGAGTCCCACTTAGAAGTTTCAACAAGACCAAGGGATCCAGGAACCCCCTGTGAAGTTGACAGGAAATCAACGTAATCTTGTACCTCATAATATTTCATCTGGGATTCTCCTTTATTTTTTATTTTATTTTTTTTGGCTATATTGGGGTTTGAACTCAGGGCCTCAAACTTGCCAGGCAGGTGTTCTACTATTTGAGCCACTCCACCAGCCCTTTTTTGTGTTGGGTATTTTCAAGGTAGGGTCTCTCGAATTATTTGCCTGGGCTGGCTTCCAGCCACGATCCTCTTAATATCTACCACCTGAGTAGCTAGGATTACAGGTATGAATCACCAATACCTGGCTTTATTTATTTCCTTCCTTCCTTCCTTCCTTCCTTCCTTCCTTCCTTCCTTCCTTCCTTCCTTCCTTCCTTCCTTCCTTCCTTCCTCCCTCCCTCCCTCCCTCCCTTCCTTCCTCCCTCCCTCCCTCCCTTCCTTCCTTTTTTCCTCTTTGCTGTATAGGGCCTCACACTTGCTAGGCAAGAACTCTACCTTGAGCCACGCCTCGAGCCCTTTTTTTTTTGAGACAAGGTTTTGTTATATAGCCCACACTGGCTTGGAACTCATTATGTAACCCAGGCTGGCCTTGCATATTGAATAAATATTTGAGTGTACACTATTTACAAGATTGTTCTTTCATAGTCCCTAGTCATTTATTCTTTCCTCTAATTGTGCAGCAGCTCCTTCTCTTTCTCCCATCATCAAGGCAAGATCTTTTTCTTACTTTTCAGGAAATATGAACTATTAGGGTTATAAATTAAAAAATATCACTTTGATGGTAACTTCCCAGCAGACAGCTTCCAATTATCCTTGGAGTTAATGAGGTAGAATGATAATATGAATTTCCCAAAACAGCAACTAATCAAACAATAACACTCACAGACCATCTCAGAATGAACTAAATGATATTGGTCCCTTTATTATTTCATCCAGTCTAATATGGAACAAATTTTCAGTACCTGAGAAACTGATTAGAAGGCAGGCAGAAATGATCTGGGATGCATTGGCTACTATGTGAAGACCAAGTAAAAGTGGACAGTGGATCAGATAAGATTAGGACCAATGGGTAAATGTGGAAAGTGTATGCCATCCCAAAATGTTTATAGTATAGGGTTTTCCTGAATAATCCCAATATCATGATTCCTTTAACAACTGAATGTGAACAGACACACCATAAGGGTTAAGCACGTGCTTGGATGTGACTCAGTCCCATCAGTTATTAGCTGCCTAATCTTAAATAATTTATGTACTCATCCCTGCAGCTCCAACACATATGTAAAGTGGGAACATTGTTCTTATTTGTGGTGAGGGTTGTAAGATGCTTAGAAAACTTCCGGACACCTGGCAAGCAAATTTTAAGTATCAGCTGTTATTAAATTTGTTAATATTAAGTCCATCATTTTCTGAAATAACAAATCAGGCATGCTTTGGCATTCCACATTCTTTTGCTTTAGTAAACACAGAGGACAATTTTCCTATTTTAACAGTAAGAAATTTCTTCACATATTAGGGAAAAATAGGGCCCAGGTTTAAGGTTACACAATATATTGGGGTCAGCTAGACCCAGAAACTTCATTTTCGCCCTTTCTGGGACCTAAGGACCTTCAATGTATTCCAGACATTGAGGAAAAACACTTGTCTCAAAGCTCTCTGACTTCAGAGGGAAACACTTTTTCATTTTTTTACCAGGTGTAAGTAATGCAAAATGTGCCAAGCCAACAGGAATGCAGCAACCACAGGCGGCCAGCCAACCTCGTGCGCAAGCGCATCTCGCGTTTGGGAAGCTCTTACGGAGCGTGATAGCCGTGCTCTTCGCCTAACCCAACGTGGATCTCACTGCGCACGCGCGACTGTACTCCACCGCCATCACCCAGCGAGCACGTGCGCGTCCGCGCGGCTCACAGTTCGGCGGCGGGCTCGCGCCCTGGAAAATTCCACTTCGGAGCTAGCTCCACCCTATGCGCTTTCTCTTCTAACCTACGCTTTGCACAGTCAGCTCCCATCCCGGCAGCCTTTGCGTAAAAAAATGGCAGCCCCGTGTCTCGGGGGTTGTCTTGCATATGCAGGGCTTTGGGATGGTGGTCTCGGCAGGTGGGTAGGGATGGAGCGGAGTTTAGGGACTGGAGGCGGAGGACAGAGTAGAGGGGAATAATTGTTGTGTAGTTGTTCTTGGTGAGGTTGGGCGGTAAGAGTCAGACCTAGGCCGGGGAAGAGTTCGAGGTGTACCGCCGCCCCTATTTATCTCTGGTGGCGGAGTGGGGAGGGCTAACCCAGAGCCGTGAGCGCGTGTTTGAGTTCGCGGCCGTTATGTTTTTCTACTTGTTTTGGGTCTGTCTGGCGCGGAAGTGTTAAATTGAACAGTAGTTGGGTGAAAAGCAGTATAGTCCCTAGTATAGTCCCTGTTCCTGCCTAAGCAAACCTCGTGGTTAGAGAGAAAAGGTCCCCTGGCTTTTTAAAGAGCTTATTGGTAGGTTGGGAGTTAGAACGACAGAATCAAGTTGTCAGTGAGACTCCCGCTGGAATGATCAAAATGTAATCGGAGTGGGTGTGGAAGAAATATAAAGAAAATTACTGTGTGCTTTAATAATATTCAGCTCATTTCGATATTGGGTTGATAATTTAAGTTTCCCATCAGACTGAAAGTTCTTTGAAAGCAGATGCCTTGCTTTAATCAACTCTGCATCTGGTACTGCTATGGAGTGTACTAAAGGAAAGCTTTTAGTAAATGTAGAATGCTGTTAGTTAGGGTTGCTAAGTGGCATCTGTCTGGTAAGATACATCCCTAGGGCGTTCGAGTAGAAAGCATTTTCCCCGCGATATAATTGTTTCTGAAAAATTCTTTACCTCACCTTTCAGCCGGCCCTGTTGACTCAGTCCGCAGCTGTAGTTCCAGTAAGAACAAAAAAACGTTTCACACCCCCCAGTTACGAACCCAAATACAAAACAGAAAAGGAGTTTCTAGAATATGCCCGAAAAGCAGGATTGGTCATTCCTCCGGAACGTTTGGACCGTCCCATACATGTGGCCTGCACAGGTGAGGTGCATTATTTCTGGGACCTTGACCCAGTCCCCTATCTGGAGTTTGGAATGGTTTGGACTATGATTAACAGCATTAAATTAACCACAAGTCAATTCAACCTCAGTGATTTAGTTTATATACATTATATTTCATAAGGTCATCTTGTTTTCTTGCTCTATAGCTCACGCTGGCCTTGAACTCACTATCCTCCTGCCTTAGCACCCCAAGCTCTGGTATTACAGGTGTGCACCATCATACCTAGCCATAAAGTCATCTTTGTTCTTGTTTTCACACTATTTATAGAAAGCAAGAGTGAAATTTCCCCGTTTAGTTGAAGGAGAAACAGGTTCCGAGAGAAGAGCTAAGTTACTCTTTTTCCTTAGTGGTACTGGGGTTAGAACTCAGGGCCTCATAGGTAGGTGCACTGCCTCTTCAGCCACTCTGCCAGCCCTGCTTTTTCGTTTTCGTTTTTTTATTGCGTGTGACATTGTTCCCTCTCCGTGGAAGTCTGTTTGATTAATCTACTTTGTATGCAGTATCCTTCCCACCAACTTCGGGGTGTGCGGGTACGCGGTACCGCAGTTGAACCCAAGGCCTTGAGCTTGCTAAGCCACGCGCTCCACCCCCAGCCCTTTGGTTTTATTTTGTTTTCGAGATAAGAGTCTTGGCTAATTAACTCTGCCCAGGCTGATACTGAACTTTTGAACCTCCTGCCTTCCCCCTCCCAAGTAGCTGGAATTACAGCTGTGAACCACCACACCCAGCTTCCCTTTCAGTTTTTTTCATTACCTATAGATAACTTTTTCTTAGTTTGGAGGTATGGCTCAAAGTGATAGAGTGCCTTCTTTGCAGGATGACTTTTTCTCATTCTTTCAACACTTTCTTAGTTTCTTTTTTCTTTTTCTCTTCTTACAGCTGGTATCTTTGATGCCTATGTTCCTCCTGAAGGTGATGCTCGAATGTCATCTCTTTCAAAGGAAGGACTGAAACAGAGAACTGAGCGATTGAAGAAGAATGCAGCATCACAATTGTCGTAGGTGTCTTGAGACAAGTAGGGGTCAATTTTCTGTGCCTGTTTAGATGATTGTGACATTTGGCTCCTATTCTGTTGATATGGTGTATTACATTAATTAATTTTCAAATGTTAAGCAAGAATGACAGTTAGTGTAAACTTTCATTCATGGGAATTGTATGAAGACTTCTTCAGAATGATTCTCATGCTTAATTTTTCAGAATCCGGAAGATAAAAGAATATGATGCCAATTTTAAAACAAAAGACTTCCCTGAAAAAGCCAAGGATATCTTCATTGAAGCTCACCTTTGTCTAAACAAGTAAGTGAACTCTATTATTGTAGGCACTTTTTTTTTTTTTTTGGTAGTGGTGATATTGGGATTTGAACTCAGAGCTTTGTACTTGGTAGGCAGATACTATATAGCTTGAGCATACCCCTAGACTTTGTGTTGGTTATTTTTTGAGATAAGATCTCACTTTATGCCCAGGCTGGCCTGGATTGCCATCCTTCTATTTGTGCTTCCCCACGTAGCTAGGATCACAGGTGCACACCAGTTTGGCACAGCCATTGGTCGAGATAGGGTACAGTGAACTTTTTGCCTGGGCTATGCCTGAATTACCATACTCCTAGTTGTTTTTGTTTTTGTACAGATATTTTTTCTTTCTTTGGTGGAACTGGACTTTGAACTCAGAGCCTCACTGTTGCTAGGCAGGCACTCTACCAGCCTTATTTTGTGTTGGTTATTTTCAAAGCATGGTTTCTTGAACTATTTACCAGGGTGTGGCTTAGGACCACAGGGCATTGTGCGTGCTAGGCAGGTGCTCTACCACTGAGCTATATCCCTAGCCTGTATATATCCTTTTGAGGCCTATTATTTTTATTATTCTACTTTATTTTTTGTATATTTCATTTTTCCTACCATGTTATTTTGTTTATTCTGTACTTATTATTATTATTATTATTATTATTATTTTGGTGGGAGTGGAGTTTGAACTTAGGGTTTCACTCTTAACAAAGCAGACCCTCTACCACTTTAGTCCTGTTTTGCTCTGATTATTTTGGAGATGGTGGGGGTCTCACGAACTAATTGCCCAGGCTGGCCTCAAACCTTGGTCCTCCTGATCTCATCTTGCCAAGTAGCTAGGATTACAGGTATGAGTCACCTGCTCCTGGCTACTAGCTAGGATTACAGGTATGAGTCACCTGCTCCTGGCTACTTACCGTGTTTTTCTCTCTTATTTGTCAGGTTGATATGTCTTCCTTTTTTATCCCATTTACTTGTTTGGAAATATTACATTCTGCTTCTCTTTTAGTGGTTATCATTAAAATGGTTAACAGCAATTTTTTTGTGTGTGTGATGAGGTCTGGCTATGCTGCCCAAGCTCTTTTTGAACTCCTGGTCTCAAGCCTTCTACTCTCATCAGCCTCCTGAGGAGTACTGGCACTTAGCAGTGTGTCCAGCTTAACATACATTCTTCATTTAACATTCTTAAAACCTTAGAATGCTTTAATTTTATCACTACCTCATCTACCTTCCATGTGTTTATTGTCTTGGGTTTTTATTATTTCTTTGTGTTTTGGCACAGAATCTCCCTAAGTAGCTAAGTTGCCCTGGAACTTGCTGTGTATCCCAGGCTGGCCTCAAACTCAAAATCTTCCTTCCCCAGCTTACTAAATGATGGGATTATAGGCCTGTACTACCATGCCCAGTTTGTTCTGTAGTTTCTTTTGGCTTTGCTTTTTTATTTTGCTTTGTTTGATTGTTTACCCCTTCCTGCCGACTGGACAGGGTTATTTATTTATTTATTTATTTATTTATTTTTAAGAGAAGGTTCAGCTGAGGTTATAGTGCAGTGGTAGAGCACTTGACTAGCATGTGAAAAGGCCCTGGGTTTCATTCCCACCACCACAAAGAAACACCAACATAAAAAAGAGTTGGGGGGAAGTGTCTTACTGTTTTCCAGGCTGATCCTAAACTGGGCTCAACTGGTCCTCCTGACTCAGCCTGTTGAGGACCTAGGAGTACAGGTTTCAACTCCATTCATATATATATATATATATCACTTTGAGTATAGAATTTAGGTTGATTTTTTTTTAAATTTTATTCCTTCAAATTGCTAATGATGGTTATTTTCTATGAGCATTTTGAAGATGTAATTTTTGCTGGACACAACCTGTAATATTAGCACTTGGGAGACTGAGGACAGAAGATGTAGAATTCAAGGTCAGGCCTGGACTACATAGCAAGTTCAAGATCAGCAAGACCTTGTCTCAAACACTCAGAAAAAGGTGTCATCCTTTGATTGCTGTTACTTCGATTAAGAAGTTAGCATTAGCTTTGTTTCTTGTCATTTCTTTGAATTTAAGATTTTGGTTGGTTTTTTTTTTTTCAATCTCTCTTTAGTATTCAGCAAGATACTATAACATACTACAGGTGTATTTGTGTGTATGTGGTATGGGTGGGAACTACAGGTCTTGTGAGTGCTCAGCAGGCACTCTACCACTTGAGCCACAATTCAGTCCTCTGCATGCCTCCTGAGTAACTAGGATTATAGGTGTGAGCCACCAGCGCCTGGCATGATATCTGTTTCTTGAGTAGCTAGAATTACAGGCATGAGCCACCGGTACCTGACCCAACTAATTTCTTGAATATACTAATCATAATTATTTTAAAATCTGTGTCAGATAAGTGTATTTTTCTTTTGTTTTTTGAATTCAAGACTTGGTGATTGTAAGGCAGACACTCTATTGCTTGAGCCAAGCTTCCAGCCCTTTTTGCTTTGGTTATTTCTGAAATAGGGTCTCACTTTTTGCCCAGACCAGCCTGGACCACAAACCTCCTATTTATGTTTCCCACAGTAGCTGGAATGGCAGGCACATGCCACACCACACTTAAGCCAGTGATTGAGATAGAATCTCAAATACTTTTGCCTGGACTGGCCTCTAACCTTCATTCTCCCAGTTGCCCCCTCCGAAGTAGCTAGGATTACAGACTTGAGCCACTGCACTGGCTGCCTGCATTTTTTTTTTTTTTTTTAAATATACAGGGGTTTTGGGTTGTGTTTTTTTGTTGTTGTTGTTCTATTGTGGTAGGGATCTACTCCAGGGCTTTATGCATGCTAAACACATGCTCTAGCACTCTTCCCTTTTAATGTCGGCACTTGCAGTACTAAATTTTCTTCTCAGTACTGCTTTTACTGCATCTGGTAAGTTTTTGTTTGTTTGAGACAGGGTATAGCTGCAAAGTCCAGGCTGGTCTTGAATTCACAGTCCTCCTGCTTCAACCTCCTGAGTGCTGGGATTTACAGGTGTGCACCACCATGCCTGGCATTCCATAAGTTTCAGCATGTTATGTTTTATTTTCATTTGTTTCAAAGTATTTTCTGATTTCCCTTGTAATTTTTATTTTTATTTTTTTTGGTGGGACTAGGGTTTGAACTCAGGGCTTCACATTAGCAAAGCATGTTTGTAATTTCTTCTTTGATCCATTGGTTGTTTTAAGAATGTGATGTTTATTTTCTACATACTCATCAATTTTCCAGTTTACTTTCTGTTACTGATTTCTAGTTTTATTCCATTGTGACCAGAAATATAACCATTTTGAATGGTTTTAGTCCTAAAGTTTTATTTAGGCTTGTTTTGTGACCTAACATCTAACTTGTCCTAAAGAATGTTGTTTAAGTGCACTTGAGAAGACTGTGTATTCTGCTTTTGGGGGTTGTGTGTCAGTTAGGTCAGATTGGTATTATAGTGTTGTCATAGTCCTCTGTTTTCTTTTTGATCTTTTGTCTGATTGTTTTATTGATTACTTTTGATGGTACTGAGGGTTGAACTCAGGGCTTTGAGCTTGCTATGCAGGTGTTCTACCACTTGAGCCACTCTGCCAGCCCTTTTTTGTGTTGGATATTTTTGAGATAGGGTCTTGAGAACTATTTGCTCAGGTTAGCTTTGAACCACCATCCTCATGATTTCTTCCTCCTGAGTAGCTAGGATTACAGGCATGAGCCACCAGCCCCAGCAAGTTGGTTATTTTTGAGGTAGGGTCTCACTTTATGTCCAGGTCAACCTGGATAGAAAGTCTCCTATTTTTGTTTCCCTGTGTATGTGGGATGACAGAGACATGCCACTACATCTATCTAGCCTTTGAGATGGAGTCTCCCAAACTTTTTGCCTGGGCTGGCCTCAAACTGCTATCCACTTGATCTCTGCCTCCCAAGTAACTACGATTCTAGGCTTGAGCCACCACACCCAGCAATGTTTTTTTGTGTGTATGTGATATTGGGGTTTGAACTCCGGGCCTCACACTTGCTGGGTAGGGACTCTACACTTGAGCCACTCCACCAGCCCCAACATACCTTTTTACCTTTTTGTGTGTGTGTGGTGTGAGGGTTTTTGAACTGAGGGCCTTAAGCTTGCTAGGCAGGCACTCTACCACTTGAGCCACTCCTCCAGCCCTGTTTTTTTGAAAATGAAATATTGAGGGGCTTGTGGAGTGTCTTAAGTGATAGAGTGCCTGCCTAGTAAGCTTGAGGCCCTGCGTTCAAAACCTCAGTACCATAAAATAAAACATAAAATAAATAAAATTAAATAAAATGAGTCTCTTGTCGATGGCATATATGTGGATTTTTTTTAATCCATCTGGCAATTTCTGCCTTATAATTGAGAAGTCTAATGCATTTATATGTAAATTAACTACTGATAAAGAACTAGTTACTTTTACCATTTACCTATTCAATTTCTATATGTCTTACATGTTTCAATTCCTCCATTACTGATGTTCTTTTGATTTTTATAGTGTATCATTATGAGTCCCTTCTTCCTTTTTCTGTATATTTTTTAGTTATCTTCCTTTTGGGTACTTTGGAGATTATAATTAACATCTTAAACTTTATAACAATTTAGTTTGGTGAATATCAACTTTGTTTCAATAATATACCAACACTCTGCTCCTATGTATCTCTGTATTTCTCCTTTATATTATTGTTATCATAGGTTATATCTTTATACGTTGAGTGCTCATTAACATAAGTTTATAATTATTGTGTTATTCATTTGCCTTTTAATTCATACAGGAAAAAAATGAGGACTTACAAACAAAAAGTACAATAATACTGGCTTTTATATTTACCTATGTAGTTACCTGTGTCAGTGTTCATTATTTTTTCTTAGGGCTTTGTTTCCATGTAGTATCCTTTAATTTCATCATGAAATATTCTTTTCAGCATATCTTGCATGGTAGCTCTACAGATGGTAAACTCTTAGCTGTAGTTAATCTGGAAGTGTATTAATTTCTTCATTTTGTTTTTTTCTTGGCAGTAC